TTTTTTTTTTTGTCTGGTCTTGAGAACCAACGATATATCATCGAAGCGACTGAACAGGGCACAGACAGATTGATTCTCTCGTTGACTAATTTAGTCCATGAATGAATGAGAAACATAGTGATGATTTTTTCCTGAAAATTTTGTTCTTTTCAGACTCACTTCAGTTCCCATTGTATGTTCACTGCCATTTTTTTGTGAAGGCTCCTGAAGATGTTGAAGACAACTGGTACAAGGAGGAGGCTCGAAATTTGGTGCGCGCAAGTCTTGGGTAATTCGTAGATTCATATATAAAATCTTTATATTCGCATAATTTTGTAATTGTTACGTAAGCTTGTATGTATACGCTTTATCATACCAAGAATATTGAGACCGCCTTGAGTTGCATTTGCAGTCAGAACCTACCGCCTGTTGTTTTATATTTCATAGGATTTTGAAATTTATTTGTGTTTAATTAGTGGCGTATACGGTCCCAGGCTTGCAAAAAAGTTTTGCATGCGTTTTGATGTGTGGCAGCTGTGCAAAATGCAAGTTGGGACGCTTCTATGCGTGTATATGTTTTGCATTAGGTTTTCAGTTTGGCACCCACAAAAGCAAGGAAGCTGAAATTTTAGGAGAATGTTCCTCATCCGTGTATGACTTCGCAGATTTAAATTCAGCCTTCACATTTGCCTGGGCCTCACGTACGGCCTCATGAAAGTTTTGGCTGCAAAAATTACTCTCTCGGAAACCACAAAAGCTGAAGAACTGTAATTTTAGGAGAATGTTCCCTGCCTACGTGCGACTCTGTAAATTCAAGCTTTGACGTACGCTTTGCTCCCACGTCCAGCCCCATGAAAATTTTGATGGGGAAAAAATTATTGTCTTGACAACCATAAGAGCTAGAAAACTGAAATTTTGGGAGAATATTTCGCGCCCACATGCTGCGGCTTGCGGCCCCCTTAAATACAAATTTAGCTTTCACATATGTTTAGGTTCTGTGAAACATACGGCTCTGTGAAAGTTTTTATGGGGTAATTATTATCTTGGGAACCAAAAGAGCTAGAAAGTTAAAATTTCAGGAGAATGTTTCCTGCATATGCAAGGACCTCACAAACTCAAATTCAGCTCTCATGTATGTCCAGGTCTTGCGTAAGGGCAAGTGAGGGTTTTAGCACGAAATTTGCTAACTTGGAAGCTAGAGAACTAGGAAGCTGAAGTTTTGGAACAATTTTCCCCGTCGTGTGCAATCCAAAGATTTCGAAATTCAGCATTCACATACGCTTACGTTTTACGCACTGGTACGTGAAATTTTCATGGAAATTCTCGCAGATTAGGGACCAAATTACATACGGCTGTCCTCGCACACACTAAATTGTAAGACAGTGAAAATTCTCAGCAGCAAGTGTCCGCTGAATGAAACTGTGCAAAATACGTGATCGCACCGGTGCCCTGATGCGCGCCACTATTTATTTTTATTTATATTAACGTGTGGTAGGTAACGAACTGAAAATGCGCAGCTTTGGGGCAGAAGGCCTGGCATAGCTGCATTCCGGCGTGTGGGAGCATTCCAGTAACATCACTGACGTGGGATATCCGAATCACCTGCTTGAAATTGCTGAATTTAATGCTTTTCTGACGCTTTCTTTTATTTTTGCACAAAGTTACATTTTCCTACTATTTAATTTGGCGTTCTCTCATTTTTTTTTAGTGCAGTTGAGTACGTCGGTACTGATTCCACTGCAATTTGGGCTAAATTTTACGCTTTTTCTGGTGAAATTTCATATTCCAGATCACGTTTTCTTTTCATCACTTCTTGTTTCCTGCTTACTGCAACTTTTTGCTGTGCTTTTAGCATCATGGAATTGGATTTCGTTG